CATTCTACAGATCAAAAACATTGCTACTGACTCTGTTTCCGCATGTTTTTCTAGTAATGCTTAGAATTAATTTTCAGTATTTTTTTATTCACTATTGAGATTTTTCAAGTTAGGATGCTTGACTTTAAATAGAAAAAAAGCATAGTTTTCTATCTTGCAAACTGCAGGTTAACCACACAATCCTTACCATGATGAGAAGCAAAAGCTATCTATAAAGTCGATTCAATTCTAAGAAGCCAATTAGTAAACAACCACAGGAAAGGGAGATGATTTGATGTACTTGGCAGGATCGAAACAGAAGTATGGCTGTTAGTAGTTTTCCCAAATGAGAAGAAAACCATCTACAGTGCATCACTGTCAGAATAAAAAGAAACTATAATGATAATATATGTCAGAGAAATAGACGACTCAAAAAAAATAAAAAATGAAATCTATACACAGAAATAAAGGTTGAGTAGAAATCTAGAGTAGAAAAGAAAAAAGTACTGAATTTTGGAAATCTTAAACAATGTAAGCTATTAAACCATATATTTTATGCACTAGCCTGGGAGTTTGAAAAAACAAACTCCCATTTAACACAGCTAATTACTTAAATACAACAAAAAAGGGTGGAATTTATCAAATCAAACCTTTTTTCCAGAGCAATTAAAATCTGTATCTTCTGGGGAGAAAAGTGTTAAGATGCTAATTGACCATAACTAACTCCAACTTAAAGAAGAGAGAAGAATAATCTGTTACAAATAGCCTAATGGATAAAGAATAATCAGAAACTTTAGTTTCATGGGTGGTTCTCTGAATTAGGAGAAGTGAAGAAACTCAGTTTTAAAACAGATTTTCTTTTCATTACACTGCTAAGCACTGCTTTTATAAGTTTTGTAACCTTAAAGACTGCTAGTAATAAAACAGCAAAAAAAATACAAGCTCCCACAATATTTTATTTAAACAAAATACAATCACTTTTCAAACTACACTATTGGGACCAACCCAAAAAAATCAATTTGTAATATGCAGGGAAATAAACATTTTCTTGCTCATTTCTTCCCTACAAGGGAGAACTGGCATTACTATTGGCACAATTTTTAAAAATCTACAAAGTAATCTCTTTTTGGAACATTTTTTGTAAAACCACGATCCACTTTAGGGGAAAGGAAAGCATAGGAACTAAAGTGTAATTCTTAGCTCATAACTGAATGTAGTCACTGTAATACATTACCATTGCTTCTTTAGCTATTGTAGTCAAATAGAACAACATGCTTCATTTGCGTGTTCCCGGGCGCCGCCATTTTTAAATCCCCCTTAGTCCGAACTCCATTCCACGAGGAGTAACGGTAGTTCGAATTAGGAGCTTTAATTCGAACTACCTACTCTGTGCCGCGTGTAGCCGCGGGCACGGAGTTCGGACTAAGGGGAGATTTAAAAATGGCAGCGCCCGGGAACATGCAAATGAAGCCCGGGATATTTAAATCCCGGGCTTCATTTGCAACTCCCCTGCCCTCATTACCCTTCCTATCTCGAACTAATGAGCTAGTGTAGAAGTACCCTGAGAGTCTTTCCCCCTTTTTACAGATTTTATTTAAACATCAAGCCTATTCTTCTATCCTGGCAGAATAATTCAGTGCCATCCCTGACAACTTGGAAATTACTCCCCTTATTACTGTGTACCTTTCAGTGGACACACACTTAATTTATTTGGTATTATTAATTGCTAACCTTTCATTCAGGAGCATATGATTGCTTTCCACTTTCTCAGCTTTCTTCCATCCCTGTCTCTTTGCAGCAGGTGATAGCGCTTTCTGTAATATATTATCTTTAAGTGTAACCAATGCCATTGGGTAGTATGAAACATGCTTACTGTAGAAGAATTATTTTTTGGCATTTTAAAAATAGTGCCTGGCATATTTGTGAACTTTGAAAATAGAAATTTACCACTACATTGAAAGGTCATAAATAAACCCACAACATAATCTATAGACCTTGGGTTCATAAACGGATCTAAAAAAACGAAATAAAAAATGTGATTATTAAGGCAGGTTACATGCTAATAAATTATTGTCACTGAAACTAAGGTTCTTGTTTGATGTTATGGCCTCGCACAAAAAGCAATTCATTTATATGGCTTTCTAGCTCTTTATTAAATAAGTTTGTAATATCATTGTTTCCAAACAAAAAACATCAAGTCATCTGTGTCAGTTTTTCAACCTGTCAGACACCTGAATTTAAGGGCATCCCACCTTTTTCATTCTTCTGGATTGTCCTTCATTTCTATTTGTGCATTTCTGCTGGTGAGGTAATTACTGTTCTCTGTGCTCTAATACAGAGACAGCAGAGTGGAGGGCAGGTGGCTGTGACTTCAAAGCCAGCTTCCTGAATGTGGATCTGAGGAAGTGGGTCTGGCCCACGAAAGCTCATCATCTAATAAACCATCTTGTTAGTCTTTAAAGTGCTACATAGTCCTGTATTTTGTTTTAGCTACACCAGACTAACACGGCTACATTTCTATCACCATAAAGAGATGTGTGCATGGCAGGACTAGCTGACCTAGCCTATTCACATCCCACCCCCTATGGAGACATCCTGGCTTTAGGAATAAGCACTAGTGTGGCGGAGCCTTCCTGATGCCATCTCTGCCATTCTTTAAAAGAAGATGAGGACCACTGACACTTCAAGTAGGGAGCCAAGCCTTAGTGAACCACACACTGTGTTGTATCTATGACCCCAGAATTTCACTCCAGTTCTGCTCTGACTCTACAGACATTTTCAAATGCCTCTGCTGCAGCTTATGATTTTGCCAAGCAGTGGCAGAGTATAAACAAGAACACTGGTCAATATCACTTCTATTATTCAGAACCTTGGAGAAAGCAATGAAACCATCAAGAATGAGGGGACAGGACTGATATAGGAGACAAAGACTTAAAAGCCAGGTATAAAGTGACCAAGGGAAGTTAACTAACAAGGGGAAGCAAACAGAGGAGTTTGAGAGGAAGTTTGTAGGAGGGGAAAAAGAATAAAATCAACATGGTTTGGAAAGGCCTCCTCACTAATGCCATCATTGTTTCCAGTTTCTGGCTTCTCCGCCTATATCTGTATCTAGACAGAGACTATGACCATGGATGCCTCTATGCAAGTTCTGATGTACACTTGCACAGACTGTGAACTGCATTTCCCTACCACAAAAAGCCATGATGGAAAGGCCAACCTGCATGAGAGGTGTTTATTGGTAGAATCTCTCAGGACACAGGTGGGAAAGCTCAAGGAGGGAGTAGTTAAGAGGAGTATCTATCAATAGGTCACACAACTGATTGATGGCAGCCATTAATGCCTTCCAACATAAGAAAACCCATCTCATCTCTGCTACCCTCCCAATAAAGTTTAACATGTTACCCTGCCAATGACTTCACTTCCAGACAGAAAGCAGAATGGGGAAGACTGGGAGGATGCATGGGGAGCACACAACACCTACCATGCAGAGTGGGGCAATGGGGTTGTAGGGGGCAGTACCCTTGGCATGGAGGAAAGGAAGTAATGAGGATTCAAAAGGAGTCCTTGCCATGGGGGAGAAAGGAGACACTGCTGTTGGGATGGAGGAGGGTAGAGGGAAAGGAGGTAAACTCCCTGCCATTGAGACAGCAATGAGGGAGCGTGTCATGGGAGAAGAGGGATCCACGGAACACCTGCCACGAGGGGGGTAAGGTCGGAGGAAGAGGAAATGAAGCACATAAAACCCTTAAAAGACAATAAATGGTGTGTACAGTAAAACTCCATTAGTCCGGCATCCAATGCTCCGGGACTCCTGATGGTCCGGCACCATCAGGAACCCATTGAGACAGCAATGAGGGAGCGTGTCATGGGAGAAGAGGGATCCACGGAACACCTGCCACGAGGGGGGTAAGGTCGGAGGAAGAGGAAATGAAGCACATAAAACCCTTAAAAGACAATAAATGGTGTGTACAGTAAAACTCCATTAGTCCGGCATCCAATGCTCCGGGACTCCTGATGGTCCGGCACCATCAGGAACCCAGAAGTGCTCAGGGCAGCAGGACAATTGGAGCTGCTCTGCGCCCGGCTTCCCCGATTCAGCCGCTGCTGAAACTGACCAGCAGCTGAATCGTCGATTTGGTCCTGTAGCGCTGCCCCTCGGGGCTGCGGGACCAATCCGGCAGCACTCCAGCTACTCTTGGGGATACCTGGAGCAGAGCAGCCGGAGTACTACCAGGTTGGTCTCACAGCACCGAAGGGCAGCGCTAGGGGACCAACCCAGCAACACCCCAGCTGCTCTGTCCCAGGCGTCCCCCATTCAGCAGCTGCTGAAACTGACCAGCAGCGGCTGAATCGGGGACGCCTGGGGCAGAGCCGGACTATCAGAAGCGGGGGCTATGAGAAGTCTGGGGTGGCATCCCCCCCACCCCTCACAGCCCCCCCCTCCAATAGTCCGGCATATCTGATAATCCGACACCGCCTGGGTCCTAAAGGTGCTGGATTATCGGAAGTTTACTGTACTTTGTATGGCGGGGCACATACTACTTCTGGCGTAGGGAACAAGGAAAGCCACTCAAACCCCTGCCATTGAAGGAATGGAGGACACGAGGGGTTGATGAGAAATGCAGTGTACACAGAATCTCTGGTATGGGAAGTGAGAATGTGGAACTCTCCCATGGGAGGAGAGGGACACACAATCCCTAGCAGGAGAAAATTGGAGGGCAGTCGGAGGAAATTCATTTTAAAAAGGAAGGATGAAAATGTGGCGCACAGCTTGTTGTGGGGCGGGATGGGAGGCAGGAAACAGCAGAAATTAAAGAACCCTTGAAGTGTGCGATGAAGCTTGGTCTATACAAACTGCAAAGGTACAACTATCTAGTTAGATTTCTTGATAATTTCTTCATCATCAGCTTGAGCATAAGGGGAAATGAGGGCCACTAATAGTAGTCTGAAACTTCAAGAACACTTCTACCTGCTATTCAGTCCTGAGCACTGATGATAAAATAATTATTTAAGTAACTAACCAGAAACTGTGTGCGAAGAAAAATCACAGCAGGTGACACCAAGATCATGTGCTTTTTCATTATACAAGCACCGCATTTTATCATCCCAAATGGTTAAATCTCCACATGATGATCCAGTGACAAAGAGATTTCCATTAGGAGAAAACGCACAGGCCACCAGGGAACCATCCTTAACACTCCCAGATCTGAAAATCAAGAGAATAAAGGATTGAGTTTAGGGAATGTAATACTTTTGATCTCTAACAGCTGTATGACACAGGAGAATAGTGAAAAACTGAACTACTACTTAATATGGAGCTTAAAAAGCATAATAAGGGTTAGAAGATGACAAATTGCACAAACTTGTAAAATAGGCTCATATAAAACATATGCACAAAGATTTGTTCTCTGACCACAAAAGGAGAATGGGAGATGTTACCCGAAGGCAATAATCTGACTCAGTAATAAAATGAGCCCTGAGTTAAAGTTCACCTTCATGGGTTTAGTATTCCAAAGAGCAGGATACTGAGAAAATTACAACTCAGACACTTATCTAAGTCAAAGATGAACACACAACCATCACAACAGAGACTTAAATATACATAAAGAGAAAAATATAAATATAAAACTAGACAAGTTTTAGTCTTGTTAGATCTGGATTTTATTCCCTGCAAAACTCAAGCATAGATTCATATTATATAGCTAAGAGAATAATATTTTCCAGTTTAGGACAAAGGGCTATTTCTGAAAAACAGAAATGCAAAAAGAATAATGTCTGAAATAGGGATGTAAGTGACTAGTCAATGAGTCAACTATCCGATAAGCAAAAGCTTCTCGGATAGTCAAGTAGTACCTTGACTAGTCGCTTCCCCACCTTTGCTGCTTCTATCAGATGCAGCAGCGGGAGGCGGTGGGCTTAAAAGCCGGTTCCCCCCAGCACTGTTTCTGCGGGGGCAGTGAAGTAGCAGGGATCAGGTGCAAGCTGAGAATCAGATGATTCCCGGCTCATGCCTAGCCCCAAACACTGTGACTCTGCTTTTTAAATGTATAAGAACCCAGCAGCTCTTAATACATTTAAAAGACTACAGCGCAGCAGGGGAGACTTGGCATGAGCATGAATCAGCTGGCCCGGCTGGTGCCGGGTCCCCCCCACTGGACACCAGCCTTTTAGATGTATTAAAAGCTGGCTAACCCCACTGTGACTCCCCTGCTTACTGGGGACACAATAAGTTAATTAACCTATATTTAACATCCCTAGTCTGAAAAAAAACCTGATTTATATTTTTAAAAATCTTTTTAAAACAAAGTCAGTCCAAAGGATTTTTTTTAAATTTCATTTTTAATTATTCTCACACTGAGGGTTGCCAAGTTTTAGCTAGGAACAAATTTGCATAACTCACTTAAAAAAAAACTATAAAAATAGGAGTTTATAGTGGATATGAAGGTTTGTGGTGCCTACTTTCTATTGTCAGGCCACTAGCTCACACTCACACTCTGTCTTCACTCAGGTCCAAAAGCCCAAAGAAGTCAATGGAAAATCTCTCATTGGCTTCAATGGTCTCTAGATCAGACTCCAAATGGGAAAATGGTGGCCCACAAGCAACAATTCTGATCTGAGGGACAAAATTTATTTTATCTGTGCTGTATGGAGTACTGTGCTGTGGTACAGTTGGTGATTTTCTTTTGTGGATACCAGTTTTAATTTATTTTCAGATGTGCCAAAAATTAGGTGCCTCTTACGGTTTTACAAATATAATTAATAAACGAAATGGAACATCCTTCTCCAAACAGACATAGAGCTATTCGTACTTAGAAGCAAGGTTTCCTCTAAGCTGCACAGCAGCACGGACACGCAGCTGCTTAATGAGCCCAAACAATAGGGACACGTCCCTCCCCTCCCTACTTGCTGTGAAAGACTCGTTGCCCTGTTCTCAACATGGAACTGCTGCTGTAGCTGACAGAGAGGTGCACCTTCCCCAGCCAGGCAACTTCATGCACAGCAGCCCTGAGCCCGTGTTGGCCTCATTAAGCAGTTACAGGGCTGTGCTGCTGCATAACTTAGAAGGAACTTTGCCTTCTATTATATCCTTAACCACAGCATCACACTAACACAAATATACTCCCCACATCTTTACTAGAGATGTTAAAATGTGGATAAACGTGTAACCACTGAAAAACTCGGCAGTTACACGGTTGCGTGCATCTGCAGCGGCAGCTGGCTCCTTAGGAGCTGGTGTGCTCCAGAACTCATCTTTTAATTTTTTAAGACAGAAGTTAACTTTCATGGTTAAACGCAAGCTTTCATCCTGCTCCTGGGAAGTCGGATACCACCCCACTCTGCTGCCGCTGATACAGGTTTATCAGTTAACCGTTTGCATGGTTATATGTTCAAATTTTTACTCTTTACAAGTGCCCCTCACTTTCCTCAATGCCAGCTAAAGTTGAGACACCCTTCCTTCCTCCAGGAAAAAAAAAATCTAATGAAATCTTTCTTTGCAAATGCTTATATCATTTACTGATTTTCTTCTGAGGGAAACCAGAGTAGTCATCACAATGGATATAAATCAGTTATACATACAGCATTCCAACTATGGAAACTTAATTATCAACTGTTTGCTCTATCTTAAAGGTTATCTAAAGACTTAGGAAAACTGAATCTGGGTTTTTTGATATGGAGGAGTAATATGAAAGTTACAACAAATAGCACTTTGCACTAATAGCATAGTCACATGACTATGACATTAAGTGTACTAAAACCAAACTAATAGGTAATTATTCACAGGGCTTGACAAATCAGGCAATCTACTCACCCGTGGCAAGTAGATTTTAGCCCGGTGCAGCCGCGCAGCGCGGTCAGCGCATGTGCAGCGCAATCTGCGCATGCGCAGCGTGCGCTTCCACATGGCTGGCGAGCAGGCCTCGCTGCCACTTGGTGAGCCCTGATTATTCACATAGACTTGATTAAGATTTTTCTGTTTCTCTTGCAGCAGTTAATTACATGACATAAACTGTGTGATAGAGTCATTGTTTACTCTACTCTGCTTTAAAACATTAGTAATATCATGAAATACTGCAGAAGAGACAAGCGACCATAGGTCTTGTATTTGGCAGGTAAATAAATGATGAAATTTTTAACTATCTTTCTCTCAGCTGTATTTTGTTGTAATTTTTAAATGCACAAATTAGGCCCCATGTCTTTAAAGGTCTGAGATCAGTGTGCATTTTTGGGGTATTCAACTGTGCATGCCGATGCCCAATTTGAGAATGCAACTTCACACACAGAGTAGTTACAATAAAAGTCATATAAGCAGTTGGCCTTCCAGGCCTTAAAGTATAATCTTTACGATTGGTAAAAACAGCCCACAAAAGACATTTCTAGTGGGCTTTAAACTGTTCCGATTGCTTTTTGCATTATAAATTCAGCCTGGAAGACACTGATGACTGGAGAAAGTATAATGGTGACATCACAAATGCTAAGGGTATGTCTACACTCACACCCTAGTTCGAACTTGGGATGCAAATGTAGGCATTTGAAATAGTAAATGAAGCCGGGATTTAAATATCCCACGCTTCATTAGCATAATCTTGGCCACGCGCTGTTTCAGAACCCAACTGTTTTGAAATTGAAAGTGCGCTTCGGGCCACATTAGTTCAAATCAAACCCCTTTGTTCATAAGTAACGTTAGTTCGAACCAAGAGGTTTGATTCGAACTAATGCGGCCCGGAGCGCACTTTCACTTTCGAAACAGCTGGGTTCCAGAACAGCACGTGGCCAAGATTATGCTAATGAAGTGCAGGATATTTAAATCCTGGCTTCATTTACTATTTCGAATGCCTACATTTGCATCCCTAGTTCGAACTGGGGTGCGAGTGTAGACTTACCCTAAGAGAATTAAAGTAATTGAGAAGTGAAAGGATGTTTAGTGGTAATGTTCTAAACTGTTTCTGTTACCATCCACTTAACTTCTGAATAAAATTCAACTTTTATTAAAAATTCAATGCCTTTATCTTTCAAACCTCACAATAAACATGCTCTGAGACCTGTCACTGGTCCTCTGAGCAAAATCTGATTTGACATTCTTCCTGAGTTTTCTAAGGTCAGGTTTAAACTACACCTGGAAAATCAGCTTAAGATATACAACTCCAGCTTCATAAATAACATACCTGGAGTCGACATACCTTAAGCTGAGCTTGGTGCCATTTCCATAATGTGGGAGAAACACTCCCATGGACTTACTCCTCGCAACATCAAGGAGTATCAGCGTCGATAAAGGTCACCCATAGCATTTGATTTAGCAGCTCTTTACTAGATTCACTAAATTGAACGCCGGAAGATCGACTGCCACAGAGTTGATCTTCCCACAAGTGGAGACTAGGGATGTTAAATTGCAGATAACTGACTAACTGAATAGTCGATGCATTGTGCATCAACTGTTCATTAGAGTGTTTCTTCCTTTGAAGTGTAGCAACAGCCATAGGGTTGTTGCTACATTTTAAAGGTGAAAGCACCACATGGAGCCCGGAGTCAGCTGGGGACTCCCTGCTGACCCTGGGCTTTGTACGGCACTGCTGCTTTGAAACGCTGCCACAGGAGCTTAGAGTCAGGCTCCTCGAGGCATTTCAAAGCGGCAGTGCCATACAGAGCCCGGAGTCAGTGGGGAGTCCCAGGCTGATTCTGGGCTCCGTGCAGCGCTGCTGCTTTGAAATGCTGGGAGGAGCCAGGTGGTGTTTCAAAGCGGTAGCGCCACATGTAGCCCAGGGTATGGCCCCATGCTCCATGTGGTGCTGCCACTTTGAAGTATGTCCTCCCCTCCCCCGCCCTTTGCTGTCTCTTTTGGATAGAAGCAGCAAAGAGTGGAGGCGTGACTAGCCAACAAACCTGTTGAACATCCAGTAAGCATTGACTAGTTCTTCACATCCCTAGTGGAGACATAGCCTAAGTTACAGCCTCTCTCTCTCTCTCTCCAAGCCTTCTTTATGCAGCATAAAGAAGCAAGAAATAAATCTTTATATGTCAACATTTACATCTATGGGATTTCGCACATTTAAAAAATATTCAGTTTTGTAAAGTTTTCCAATTCACCTGCAAGACACCATGACAAAGGCAACAGAAAGCTCATCCTCTCATGCAGTAATATTTCTATAACAGATATAACACAGGTTTTGCCTACACAAGCTGCTATTCACTAATACTGCTGTCCAGAAGCAGCAGAGAGTTAATCAAATATTCTCCAAGTACCTGTTTTTTCACAGAAAGTCCTAAGAAATTTGCTAAACTCTAAGGGTTTTTTCCTGCAAAATCAGGAAGATCTACTCATGACACTAAAGAAATAACCTTTTTATCAAATTTCTAACTCTAGGGTCAAAACTTGTAATCCTTTTTAAATTTAAGAAAATTCTACATTTTCTTGAAATATAGACTACAGTTTTCAGCCCAGTGAGTTTAATTATCGATATCTATAGAAAAACTAGATAAATCCTCAAATCTTTTAAAATGTACATTTCATTGTAAACAGTATAATTAACAAAGGCCATTTCCTATCCTTATTTCTGTAAATATCTACTATTGAATAGCAGGCCAAATCCTGGCCCCATATCCATCACTTCAATGAAAGTTTTAGATGTGCAAAGAAAAGAAGGATCAGGTCTGCTATTTGTACTATTAAATCAAATTGAAACTATACCTACTACAAGCTGTAATTGGGAAGGATAGTCATCCTCTGATGACCAAAAATCTGAAAAGGATTATAACCTTCAACCCTAGATAAAAATAAAAAATCCCTACATCAATCCACAATAAATTGGAACACTATTGGGTTAGCAAAAGAAAGAAAAAAGGAGATAAATAGTGGATATTTAAAATATTATGCTTATAAAGTAACCTTTTTAGCTTCATTGCTATAATAAGCTATTAGCAGACCACTATACTATGCACGTTCATAACTACATTTTAATCTGAATTATGTAGGACAATACAAAAGGGGTGATATTACAAGCATACATTTCCTAATGCATAGACTTTGCTGGCAAGCAAAAAGATAAAAAGTGTGTAAGTAAAATACTAACTTATGACAATACAGTAACATATAAACTAAAGGAATTTTGATTAATTTTAAAATATTTACTCTCTCATTAATCAAATCTGACAACCCCAATTTGTAGTCTGGGATCCTTTATACCCAGTTGCCATAAATGAATTTTCCTGAAGGAGTATGATTTATACAATAAATGACAAATCTCTAAGAAATCAGGATTTGGCCCAAGAAGAGCTGGCTTACAAACAACAGTTAAATCAACTACTGCATATCCAAAGTGCTCTAATTTTTCACAGCAGCAAAACACAGCTATTGCATTTGAAATGTTATCCATCTTAGTTCCCCTTTTTCCATTCATCATGGGCCCAATTTCCTCAATTCTGTGTCAGACAAAGTAGTGGGGAAAAATACCATTCACATCTACAGTACAATTTCCACCATAGCTATACTATCAGTGGAGTATTGCCAATGTAAACAAGGCCTAAAAACTTGATCCTGAAAGGTACTAACAACTACAGCGCTCAGTGAAATCCATAGGAACTCAGCACCTTTGATGATCAGACCATAAGAATATTATATTTTCAAAATGCCTTCTTAGTTATTATCAGAAATATTTGGTATTTACCTGTACAATTTCAATGACTGCACATTCCAAAGAACAATGCTACCATCAGCTGCACCAGAAACTAGATAAGTGGAGTCAGGAGAAAATCGACAGACTCTTACAGGGCTGCCATGTGGCTGCTTCAGAACTGCCAGCGTCTGACCATTATGAGTATCCCACAGCATCGTAGTACCATCTGTTGAACATGAAGCTAAAATGTGTCCAGAAGGAGAAAAGCAGCAACAGTGGACAGCATAAGTGTGACCTTTCAATGGTGAGTAGGGAAGTTCAATAAAGTTGTTTAAAGAATAGAGCCGAATTGTTTTGTCCAGAGAGCAAGAAGCCAAGCAGGAAGAGGAGAAGGCACAGTAGTTGACATCATCACTGTGATCAACTAAGGTGTGAATTAGTTTCACCATTTTATCTGAAATTTAAAAAAAAGTTACTAGTTAATAGATTTATCTTAATTTTCTACTTTAAAAATTACATATGCATTGTTTCCATTTGACTATTTACCTAACCAATAAAATAATAAATGTCCATTTTAAGAGGAATAATTATGTCCATTTATCTTCATTTAAAGATCATTTTTACCTCTATTAAAGTCAATGGAGCTATGCCATTGACTTGAACAGGAATATGAGCACGTCTCTATAAGTAAATTACAGGGTGAAAATTTACACGTGCAGTAAAAACAACATTTTGAAATGAATACAACTGAGCTCAATTTATTTTTAGGATGCTGGCTGGCGAGAGGATGGGAGGGGCGGGGCGCCTGTCAACCTGCCAGGAGGAGGAGATAGTAGGGGTGGCCTGCCAGGTGGGTGGGAGCAAGAGGGGGGGCCAGGAGCCATGGGGGT